CATTGCATCAAGGGGGAGAAAAAAAAAGAATGCAGTGGATGGAGAGCAGAAGGAGATGTCATCCAGACTGTAGGTATCAAGTACATGCAGGTGTAATACTGCTGCTAGTGCTGGGGGGGGGGGGGGGGGGGGGGTGACTAATCTATGTCATTATATGTCATTTCACGGGCGTGTGCGTGAATACTTCCTGCCGTCAGACCTGGTATTTGTTCAGTTTGGATTTTTTTTTTTCTGTTGAAGTGAGAAATTTTGGAGAAAAGTCTCAGGTCAGGCCTCCTCTGACCTCTGACCTCTGTGTGGAGGCGTGTGTGGTTATTATCACCATTGTGATGTAAAACTGTGGAGTCAGGGCTGATGATGGAAGAGTTGCCAGTTTGAATCCATGACTGAGTTACGGACGATAATTTGATGGAAATATATGTAAGAATATATGGTCAGGGCTGTGGCTCAGTGGTTAGGATTGAACCTTATCAATAAAAGATGGAACATGATGCAGGCCTCAAACAATCCCATGACAGGTATTTGACAAAACCTGTTGCTGAATGATCTTGTGTAGTATTCCATCACTAATCTAATCTAAAATCAGATTGGGGGGGGGGTTGCCTTTAATCTGAAATAAAATCCCAGCACATCTGAGCTCATCGTGTTAGCCAGCTGATCCCTTAGTCTGTAATCTGCTGCTGTAACACTTCACACTGCCCCCAGTGGGGGCTGCTGCCTGGGGTTAGAACAATCAAACCAAACTCTGAGGTTCACCCTAGTTTTCTAGCTAGAGTCATAAATATAACATTAATATATAACAAAAATCAGTTCAATTCCCATTTTGTTTTGAGTCATAGATTTGGTTTGATTTGAATTTAAAGAGTTGATGTTTTTTCAATTTTTAGTTAGAAAAACAAGAGTTGGATTTTCATTTGTCACAACTGTGTCTTTGACTGTGACAACCATCGTCATAATAATTTGGATGATGGATGGATGGTTGGATGATGGTTGATGGATGGATGGATAGATGGATAGATGGATAGATGGATAGATGGATGGATAGATGGATGATGGATGGAGGGACGGATGGATGGATGGATAGATGGATGGATAGATGGATGGATAGATGGATGGATAGATGGATAGATGGATAGATGGATAGATGGATAGATGGATAGATGGATAGATGGATGATGGATGGAGGGACGGATGGATGGATGGATGGTTGGATGATGGTTGATGGATGGATGGATAGATGGATCTATGGTCAGTTTTTTGGGAAATATATTTTTTTATTCATATTCAGTATCCATGGGTATAAAAAGTGGGGTCTCCAGTCAGCCCTGGTTCCGACCCGGCTCACAGAGGCTGACTGACTGTTTTGCTGCTCCTTCTGTCCCTGCAGTCTTACATGGAGGACCACTTGAAGAACAAGAACCGTCTGGAGCGGGAGTGGGAGGCTCTGTGCTCCTACCAGGCAGAGCCCAGCATCTGCAGCGTGGGACAGGGCCAGCAGAACTCCAAGAGGAACCGGTCGGACACCGTGGTGGCCTGTGAGTTCTCTTTGGGTTTTTTTCCAGCAGCTGCCGTCCGTCTGTTCTGAACAGATGTTCTGACTGTGAACACTAGAGGTCCTCGTGTAAATCTGTTGGTTTTGAAAACGTTCAGTGAAGGTGAAGTTGATGGAGCTGTTAAATCAAAGTGATCCATTAGAACTCTCACTTCAGTCTCAGTCCAATTATCACAGCATCAACATCAGCTGGACATATAATCACACACACACAAATATACAGTATATATGTATATATTTTGTTTTCTCAGGGTTTTAAAACAGCTAGAAAAACTCCTGCTAATTTTGCCCCACATTCAGACATGACCACATTCTTCCAGACTGTGTTTTTTTTTAGCCGCAGGCATGAAAATAATGGCCCCAGAAATCAGGCCCCGATAAACAGTGTGTGGTAGGTAGGTGTAGGTGCAGTGTGTGTGTCAGGTCAGTACAGGCAAAAACAAAAAACCAACAGTCTGAGTTTGAAACTCTGCGTCTTCATTATCAACATTTTTGTCCTGTATTTGACGTCAGTTTTCCTCTGCTACTGTACTACAGTTTTAGACTAAAGTACACATTTAAATACATGTACTGTATGTTTTGGTTTAGTTTAATAATAAACCTTTATGAAATGAAAAATGACCAGCTGCTCGTCGGCCCCACCTGCAGACTCCTCCAGATGAAGTATTCATCAGGACTCCAAATTCAAACATTCTCATTGAAGGTGAAGCAATGCAGGCGTGTGTGACAAGTGAGTGTGTGTGAGTGTGTGTATGATGAAAGTGTGTTGAAACTGCACTTCCCCCTCAGCCGTCACTGGGAAAAAGAAAAACGTGTGGAAATAAGGTTTTGATCAAATATGCATCTCCATTCCAGATGATCATTCCAGGATCACCTTGAAAGCTGAGAACAACCACGGCAACTCAGATTACATCAACGCCAGTCCAATCGTGAGTACGGCTCCATCCGTCTTGGTCTGAGAGACTTCAACATTTAGCTCTTCTTTCTCCTGCTTTGGTGAATTTTCATATTGTTTAGCTACAAAATGGCTGACCCCCTCTCACAGACCCCACCACCTCACAGGCCCCCTCTAAAGACCCCCCCCCTCCCATAGAAAACCTATAGCTGTGTAAAGACACAAGGCTGAGCTAACCCTAAATGATAATCTTTAGCTGTTTCTGGACAAACTGGACTCACTTTTCTTTAGGCTCATTTTTAGATGTCATTTCTTTGGCTGTAAAATTGTTAGCTTTTGCTGTGCGGATTCCATGACAACTGGTTTTTAAATCAAAGTCAAAGTCAACTTTATTATCAAATACATTGAAATGTGTATATATATGTATATGTTTATTAGTTAGATCAGTGGTCTCTAACCCCCGGGCCGTGGCACGACACCAGTCCGTATGTCAATTGGTCGCATAACTTAGAATAAATGAATGCATAACTGTAGAAGTGCTGCAGAAGTACTACAGAAATACTGCAGACACAACAGCAGTATACTGTGAGTGTGAGTAGTGAAGAGGCAGGAGAACACAGCCACTACTGCAGTAGTACTCCCAACACGTCTCTCTGTAGCAGTTAGAGCTGCTCATGCACTGCTGCGTCCCAGCATCCATCACACGTGTCACTCAGTACAGTATTGTACTGTACTGTACTGTACTGTACCCACACTTTTCAGAGTACATGTTGAATCTTTCCTCACCCTCCTTTCTCTCTCTCTGACAGATGGACCACGACCCCCGTAACCCCACGTACGTCGCCTCTCAGGGTCCACTTCCTTCTACAGTGCCTGACTTCTGGCAGGTGAACCTCATGTTCATTCACCCCCTCAGTTTTGTTGAGTGACAGACTGAGTCAGTTATTATGTTTACAGCCATAAATGACCAGTAAACTGTCACCAAATCCACACCTGCACGATGACCACCAGGACCATTTGACAGTGTTTTCACAGTGATGGCTGCCAGTGGATCCTACATACACACTGTCACTGCTCACAGCTACTGGACTCCAGCTCACTGTAATGATGCTTTTGGTCCATTTTTAAAGCCTTATTAGATAAAGATATCTTCTCTTCAATGATTCTTAAGGATTAGTCCATACGTTGATGATTGACTTGACTATTTGTTGACAGATTCCAAATATTTATTATTGCAGTTTTATTTTTCAAACAATAGTTCTTTTCTGATCTAAAATAAACCACGGTTCAGGTTCAGGTTCAGAAGGTTCTTCTGTTCTTCTTCTTTATCTTCAGGGTCTAGTCATTTATACACACCCGTCCATGTTTTCTACAACGTTCTGCTGGTTAAAGACCAGATCATTTGTGATCCAGTTATTACAGCTCATCGTCAGAGACTGGCTGCTATAAAACATGTTAACCTGAAGGTGGAGCCTCCTCAAACAGTGGCCAAATGGTGTAGTTACGTGGTAATAGGGCAGCGCCGTAGTAATCAGTGAGACCATCGGATCCATATGGTGAAGAAACTCTGGAGCTGGTCCTGACTAGGATGTCGAAACCAGAGGAAGCATGAATCGTCCACAGCAGCCCTGCCCTGATCCTAATCCACTAACATGCTGCTAATGTGCTGCTCGTTGGAGTCATGGCTGTTCTCTGATTGGTCCACGTTGAGGTTAGGTCATCTCACCTCAGCATGGGTGAAACATCCGTCTGACGTCTGTGCTTTGACCTGCAGATGGTGTGGGAGAGCGGCTGCGTGGTCATCGTCATGCTGACCCCTCTTTCTGAGAACGGAGTGAAGCAGTGTCACCACTACTGGCCTGACGAGGGCGCTGACGTCTACCACATATATGAGGTGCAGTAGGTGACGGACGACCAAGTCTGATCTGATGTTCTGAAAGAATCACAGTAGCTGTTAATGCTAAAGCTAAATTTAAGATCATTCCAGAACATTCCACTATCAGAAACATCTTGACACTTGAGTGGTTCCATGGTGTGGTCCACAGATTGTCCACACGGTGGACTTGATTTGTTAAAACTCTTTCACTTGAACTAAGTTTGGATTTTCTGCTACGTTCTGAAGGACCAATCACAGACCGTGTTGATGGTCAGAGGTCACGTTGGCGTGACATTGACGCGGTCTCTTCCACATTCAGGTCAACCTGGTCTCTGAACACATCTGGTGCGAGGACTTTCTGGTGCGAAGCTTCTACTTGAAGAATCTACAGACTAACGAGACGCGCACTGTCACCCAGTTCCACTTCCTGTCTTGGATGGACCGTGGGATTCCCACCTCGGCCAGGACGCTGCTGGACTTCCGCAGGTACAGAGTACTGTAGAACTAGGACCCAGATGACAAACCGCCTGCTCTTATTCCCCCCCTCCTCCCCCCAGTGCTTCTCTGGTCTGTCTCCCTCCTTCACCCCCTCGGCCTCTTGGTGTCCTGCAGAGGGGTTGTACTCCCTTTCATCCTGGGCCTTTTCTCTCCCTCCCTCTACCCCCCCCCCCCCCCCCCCCCCCCCCCCCCCCCCCCCCCCCCCCCCCCCCCCCCCCCCCCCCCCCCCAACACATGTGATGCAGCAAATTAACAGATCTGCGCTGCGATCTGCGCTGCCTGGCTTGGCTAGGGAAGAAAAAGAAAAGCTAATTCAAACAGCCAATTAAATCAGAGCTGTCTCAGTGAAAACAGGGTGGGGGGACGGGAGGGAGCGGTGGGGGCTAGTGACTGAATAACCTCACTCTGTTCTCCTTAGAATGTGTTCTGGCAGAGGAGAAGCCCCCGCTCCTCTGGGTCAGACAGAGCAGAAGAGTCCACCGACCCCCCCTGTCTGTGGTGCAGAGCCACAGACGGGGGGGTCGGTGCTGTGACTGACCACAGTGAAGCTCAGAGGTAGCGTAGCCTGCAGACCGTTGACACCTCACTCTGGATTCTCCCTCTGCTTTCTGGCCAGCTCTGTATTTTGCGGTTGCCAGTGTCATTTTTGTGATGTTGCAGCTAGTAATATGAGCCCAGTTGCATAGTCACAAAAGTGATCATTGGAAACTGTGTCTCCTCAGCCAGGCCTGTGCACAACCTGCATTTTGTCTCACTCCTCCCAGTGTCCCCGCCCCCACCCACCCCTCCCCTTTCTTGCATGTCAAGGCCACAGTTGCCCGTGCACGTGTTCTCACTTTACCCATCGACCGCTGGTTTAATGATGCTGACGTGAACTGACATAACAAATAATAATCAGCTGTGCGTTAGTTGATGTTCCACTGCACTTCGCATGCTAACCTTTAGCAGCCACATTTATTGAGATATTCTGACTCATTTCACTGGGAACTTTACACCAGGTTAATTAGTTGAACACAATTTTAGCTCTCTCTAAAAAACCAGGTGAAACGCAACTCACTTATAGCTTATATTTTTGCTACATGTAGCGATGTATACTCTATATTTAGCCTAGCTTCTGTTAGCATTTAGCTAACAATTGAAGCCATTCAGTATTTACAGCATTTTGATGCCCTAAGGTTTAGTTTTTGGTTTGATGTTTTTATTTACTTGGTTCTTCTTCTTCAGGGTCAAATTTTCCTAATACACAGCAGTTCAAATACAAACATATATAAGTAAACAAATGTTTATATTCTCCAACCTCAGCTTCAGTGTATGATGACATATAATCTCATATAAAATGTATTTTGTGGATGAAAAAAGCAAAACAACGCCGAAGCGTTCACTGTAGACAGTTTCCATGGCAACAGCAGGTTGTGTAAAAAGCCTGGTTGGCTTCAGTGAGCCTGTGGTTACAACATTCAGAACTGGCCCGGGTTAATGCGTCGGAACATCACACCGCCAACATCCATCCACCGCCAGAGTGTTTGACGTGATGCTCAATTTATTTAGTTGCTGCTGCTACAATAATGTCTCTCTCTCTCTCTCTCTCTTTCTTTCTCAAATTAAATTGATTGATTGACAGCAGACCAGGTCTCCTTACGTCCCCCAGACCTAGCAGGCGGTTAGACTGTTAAATTGTTAACCTGTCAAACCGTCAGTAACTTTCTGCTTAGTGTAATGAATTTTAATACATTTATTTTAATTTTTTTTTCCATCTTCTTTCTTTGTCATTTGTTGGCGTCGACTTGTGACCTGTTAGCTTATGTTTATCTTTACCTATCAGCTTACATCCAGCCATTTGTCGTACATTTTTAGCTAACTTCAAGTAATTGTTGGATGAATTTTACTAAGCCTAATTTTTAGATTTTTTAAAATTTTTATCTTTGTACCTATTTTGAATTGACTTCAGCTAATTGTTAGCCATTAGCAGCTAAACAGTAGCTTTTGGAAAATGATTTAACAATGTTGATTTTCAAACATTAGCCAACATCTCTGAGTGTCAGGGTTTTTCAGCAGAGTTTCCCTCAGTTCAACAGTTTAGGACCAGGTTAGGGTTAGGGCCCGCTCCCCCCAGTTTTGCTCCCCCCAGTTTTGCTGCAGTCAATGCAGTCATTGTGGTTAACGTCAAATTTTCTTTTTCTCCTTTTTTTCCAGAAAGGTTAACAAGTGCTACCGCGGTCGCTCCTGCCCAATAATTGTCCATTGCAGGCAAGTACGACTGTTGGAACACGACAGTGACAGCGGTCGTGCTGCTGGATTGTGATAGAGAGTGTGTATGTGGTGTCCTGTGTGTTCAAACACAGGGTTAGGGTCCAGTGACACAGCCAAAGATGCTTCATTCTCCCATTTGGTTGACTGATTTAACTATGTTAACCAACCTTGATTGGTTTATTTAAACACCTTGTATCTGATGGTCCGCTTTTAATAGTTACATCCTGGTAAGTCATGCGTGGGGGCCGCGGCGGCCCACTCCCTCTCTAAGAGAAAGAGTTTGTGGCTCTGGATTACTGAGGAGGCGCTGCTCGGCCAGCGCTCCTGTTCTATTGGCCTGGCCTTTATTAGAGCCATGTGCACGCCTTGTTTGCAATTAACATGCAGAGCCATTGAATGGCTGGGGGGCAGAGGGGGCGGG